TCTGTTTGACAGAAGGTCCTACAAAATATTCAAAGTAAATTTAGTTGAAATACTGTTTCACTCCCAGTTCATCAGGTTCTATGCTCAAATGAATTAAGTTTCTTTATCTTTTTCGTGGATTTCCAAGGAGGAATGGATATTAGTTTAGTATTTTTGTTTTCTTAAGTTTATTAGGAGGAACCCTTTAAGGTGTCATATCATGAGAAATTAAATTGTCCTTAATATTTTGAAATGAGTTTGATGTACTATGAAAACATATTGTAACTTTCAAAGGTCAAAACTTCCTTCCAGTTCAAAAAGATAACTTGCTCTGAACCTCCACTATTTTGTGTCTAACTGCATTCATGAAGACTGGAGTGTCTCTCAGAGGTCCTGCATGAGAAATGGTCATCAGGAAAACTGAATCTGGCCTCTATCAGTCTATCAGGGTTTATCCACACTGACAGACGCTCCACTATGGGGAGTGATTCAAAGCCTTCACATTAATATATGTCATTATTTTAAACGTTTGTGCCATTGGCCTTATCTTTAGAAAAAATGTCTTGCTTTTTTCCACTGATTTTGTAATTTGCATCTGTAGAGTGCATTTTATTTAGAAAGAGACAGGCCTGAACACTTACCAAGCACAGACTCATGATTAGTTTTGTGCTTTCAAGCTTCTGAGATTAAACCAGTGCTGTGTCACACAGATAATATGAATCGGTGTAAGTAGCCGTAGTCTATATAAGACCTCAGCACAGAACCTCTGGGGTTGCTCAAGGCAAAATATTATAGCTCTTGTGAAGTTTTGTATATTTACATAGTTTTGGATTGTGTGATGTATACAGTATAGTTTGATTCCATGTTTGAACATTTCTGGCTCTGTTTAGGTCATTATGGGATTTGGTCCAGCTGGATTTTATGTTCTCCTATCCATTAAGCTTGTATAATTTTTCATATTAATGATGCACATATTAATAAATACTTTCATGCAGTGCAGATTTAGTTCCTAAAATTCCTGGGTATTTGCATGCTTCATACTGCATCACACCCACAACTAAATTACCCTTTATTTTGAGGTTATATAAAGATGTTTACAATATAAAAAAGCTAATTCTAATAATTGTATAATTTGTAATAATTACAAAAATGAACTCATGATAGATTTCAAAGTTTGGGTTTTATATGTCTTTATAATGTCGCTTTTAAAGTTTTTTATGAAAAGTCGCAATCACTCCACCGGCCTCGCTCCGTTCCCACGGCTCTCGGCCCCGCCCCCACTCGTCACAACAGCGTTTCAGGCGGTCACGCACCGGACAAGAAGCGCAGCGTTGCGTCGCACCACATCTTTAAAATTCAAATACATTATTTTCTATGAGTGTAGGCACACCGGCGGTGTCTGTCCGCGGTGCCCAGCTACGTCGTGTTGTACTTGTAAGAATTGTTCTAGACATGCCGAAAATTTTGTTTTGGTCCTGTTTGTGCGCGACAGTCGTCCGCGAGGGGCTGTCGCGCTATTTTGTGTTTATTTTATTATTAAAGTTTTCTTTGAACGTTCGCCGGTTCCCGCCTCCTCCTTCCCGTGACTATGAACTTTGTTACAGGACCCCTTTAAAGTATGAATATTTGTGAAAGCACAAGATGGATGGAAACCTGAGTGTAAACAGCAATGAGGGTCCACGGTCAGTTCTGGCTGTTCTTCTCTCTGAGTGTTGCGTGTTTAAGATAGGGACATATCAGAGTTTGTGTATTTGTGGAGGATCAGGGTGGCTTTGGTGTCAGCATACCAGAAAAACTGAGATTTAATCTTTTGCATCTCAGTGTACATAAACCTGCATCCTTACTATCCTGCTGTATGTGTTTGTTGAAATGCTTTAATTTTTAATTATAGACTTGACTATCCTGAGCACAGTTTGAGACGTTGTTGAGATATGTGAGTTTACTAGAGATTTTTACCTTTGTTTTAAAGGGGTCATAGGATGCTACATGCACAGAGGGGCGGGGTCAGCAGAGCTCATTAACATTTAAATGAAAATGCTACAAAAACAGCTTGATCTGAAAATAGCTGTTTTTGACAGGGAAAAAAAGGTGTTTTTTACACTACCATTGAGAAATTTTAACCAAACTATGTTACAGACTTTTCATTAAGACCCTAAAGAATCATATCAACTTGTGGAAAATGGGCATCCTATGACCCCTTTAAGTGAAATATGCAAGAAGCAAGAGACTTGCTTAAAGTCTCCATTTGCACTTCATTTAATCTGATTGGTGTCGAGGAGAAAAGGTTGAGATCATTTGCATATGTTGCAAATTGACAGCTGTATTGTAACACATGCCAAGTGTTTATGTTTCTGTAACAGTGGTGTGCATATGCATGTGTGATTTTACTTTAGTAGAGTGAATGTGACCCCCTGAGTGTCTGTGTGTACATGACTGCAAACATGCGTCAAAGTGTGAAAATCACCTCCACCTCATTCTGCTCTCACACCCATCATCACCTTCCATAGCAGGAGATTTGTGCCTCCTCTGCCCTCCTCTTCCACTTCCCAGCGCTTCCATGGATTCTCTCTGTTTCTGCTGTTTTTCTCCATATAAATGTGAGTTACGGCACTTGTGTGGCACTGCATAGTTGATTTTACAGTTCTGTTTTAGCATGGGTCTTATTGAGTTCAGAATTTGAGTTTTTCTACCCTGAGCTCTCTTATTCACTCTTTGAAAATTAAGTTTCTTCACATTATACTACAAAAATTATTTTGTTTAATCGAGTCATTGTAATTGAGTTTTTTTGTTTGTTTGTTTGTTTGTTTGTTTGTTTTATTCAAAAAAGTAATTTGTTACATTTATAGGTTCTTATGTAAGAGAGTAAAAATGAAACTTTAGTGCAAAAACACAAACACCCAGAGTCTGCTTCTCAGTAACCTGAATGCTACAGGTTCTTGTTAGCATGGGAAAATTATTTATTTTGGAGGGAACTCCAAAGACACCCATTAGTTCTAGGCAACATACAGCAGAAAAAAAAAAGGGTGTGGAGTGGAAAGACTGCAAGTCTGTCTGAAAACAAGCTAATGTAGTCAAGTCTATTAAGTTCAATGCCAAGTTGTGGCTCATGATTATTTTTTAATTATCAGTGATTTCTCCACTCATTATTCAAAATTGTAAATATTTACATCTTGCGGCATCATTTCTGTAAATTAATTTCATATGGTTTCATGTAGTTGAAGTCTATTATTATGATGTGTATTTATAATTTTTTCAGGATATCAAGATATAGATGGTGCCCCTTAATATTGGGAGGGTTTACTGTGTGTGAGAGAGATTGTAAGTGATTGTAGTTCTTGATATTTTCATCTCGAACTTCAAACAAACCAATAAAGTTTTCCTGTGTGAATCAGACCACCTAAACAAGCTCTCATGATTCAAACCATACCAGCCTGCCGTAGCCAACCTCAGACCTCTTAGATCGTCTGTGGTTTTAAAAGCGATTGTGTGGAAATATATTAGCTGTTTATATCTTATTATCTTGTAAACCAATGCATTTAATTGTTTAACATGCTGATATCCTTTTTAATATGCGCAATTTAAGCATTGTTGATCAGTTTGCTTCCAGATTAGACCAACAGATCTTACTCTGGCAGACAAGACTAAACAGTTCCACAAAATTTGTGAGTAAGACTGTTGGAAAGGATATCACCATTACTTAATATCCAAATTCCATTTTCCCCCATTGTATTGCCCCGTTGTATTTTTAGTTTTTCATTTTTTTGAGCATTGAAACATTTGGGAATCATTGTAGCATATTGTTGAAATGAATCATTTCTGTTAGTTCTTGTGAGTTGTTCCCTTGTCATTCCAAAAGAGTAACATCTCCACGATGACCACTTAGAGCGGGAAAATGTTGGGGGGGATATTATTGTCTTACCTTAGAGGTGAGTTTTCCATCACTGTCCAGACAAAACACCTTTTTTACCTTTGGATCTTCACTTTGTCTGTCTCATATTGTGGACTTGGATTTCAAATTAAATACGATTAGGATAATCACAAAAACAGAAGTCACATTAATAATTAATGCGAGTTTGTTTCAGGCTGGATTGAGGCCACTGTTCTGTCTTTTCCTTGGAGTTTCTTAGGCAAGCATCTATTATTATTATTGCTCATCCGTTCAGTTGGGGGTTTGAACAAACCCAAAATCCTGAGTATTAAACTTCTGTGCATGACTCATCTCAGTCTGTTTGTGCTAAAGATATGAATGATTCCTTAAAACATGAAGCTTGTTAGAGATAGATTTGCTTTGATACTTTTATAAGCACTTGTGATTTTTCTGGCAGGTGATGAAACGGGTGAAAAAAAAATAGATTAAAAAATACAGAAAATAAAGAAAAAGAAAAAAAGAGCCAATATGCAACTGTGCAAAATTCCTGCACTGCTGTTGGTAAGATTTTTTTTATATATATAAAAAGTCTCTTATGTTCACCAAGGCTGCATTCGTTGGTTTAAAAAATACAATAAAAACAGTAATATTATTACAATTCAAATAGCATTTTTCTATTTTAATATATTTTAAAACGTAATTTACTCCTGTGATGCAAAGCTGAATTTTCAGCTGCCATTACTTCAGTCTTCTGTGTCACATGATTCCTCAGAAATCATTCTGATATGCTGATTTGGAGCTCAAGAAACATTTCTCATTATTATCAATGTTGAAAACCGTCTTGATGCTTATTATTTTTTTTTTTTATCAGGATTCTTTGATAGAAAGTTTAAAAGAATTATGTATATCTGAAATAGAAACATCATTTTGTAACATCATAAATGTCTTTTCTGTCACTTTTGATCAATTTAATGTGTCCTCGCTGAATAAAAATATTTATTTATTTATTAATCTTACTGACCCCAATTTTTTTTTTGAATGGTAGTGTAGCAACATCCTGGCAACCATCCATGACACCCTATCAAGGGTAAGACTTAATTACATTTTTGAAGAAAATATTATATGTATTTCTTTCACTTCGTCTCTCTTTCAGAAAGAAGTGCTGTGAAGGTTTTAAGTTTGTACTGGGACAGTGTATTCCAGAAGGTAAGACCTCTTTCAGTCACTCGCTCTCTCTCTCTCACCCAGATTAGACTCCTCTGGGTTGAATTTGCTCTGATATTTCTGGACGTGTTTTCCCTCGTCTCCCATTAGTGTTCTAAACAAAATCATTCCTTTTGGAAACCACTCAGCTAGAGCTTTTAATGTTGTTTTAACATTTCCAGCACACCTTAAACAGCTTGACAGAGTTTCCCCACCAGTAACGATAGCTTGATTACCTCGTGTGTGTTTTTATAGTGGGAACAGGTCGGTATATTAGCTTATGAATTCAGTAATATACTTCTCGATCTTTGGTTGAGGGGTTCAAACCACTAACGAGTTTTTACTCGTAACTGTCAAATAAAAATGTGCAACTATATTGTCTGTGTTTTGCGGTTCGCCATGCCACATTGAGAGGGTGTATAGTGGTCCCTGGAACCCTTTGAGACCGTCTACAGCTTGTTTTTAAAGCCTTTTTTCTGTTTCTATGCTGTTTGTGTACTCTGGTGTCCTTACCTGCCCTCTCTCCGCTGATGAGAAACACATAAATTACCGGTTGAGAATGGACACATATTTCCCTGACTCATACTGCGTTCCATGCTGTGCCTGAGATGGTTTGGCTCTTCCCGGAGAAATCATGGAATAAGGAAAAGATGCGAGAATTGTTGGGCTGGAACTGGCAGTAATGGCTTCCCAGACCTCAGTGTTTTGTTTTAGCTATTGTAATAAAATTCTGAAAGGAAAAGCCTTTTAAAGTAGCACATTTGCATATGATTTTCGGAATTGACAATTATATTGTGGGTTTTGATTTAATTTTTGTAGTCTTGTGCTTTCCTCTCTTGCTGTGTTGATATTTGTTTGTTTGTGGGTGTGTTTGTATACACAGACTATGATGTGTGCGCTGGCGCCCCATGTGAACAGCAGTGTACCGATCATTTTGGCCGTGTGGTGTGCACCTGTTATCCTGGGTATCGCTATGACCGGGAACGACATAGAAAGCGTGAGAAACCATACTGCCTGGGTAAGATTTTGCTCTTATTTAGATAGTGAGAAAAGTGAAGTGAACTTATTTGAGTATATCGAATACAGATATGAGTGCAAAGTACTGTATTACCGTGGTAGGCAGGGTTTGGCATTACTGAAAAAATGTGCAAAAACAAATCAGTTTTCACACAACAAATGTGCAGCACAGGTACGAAAGCATTATTCAAATACAAGAAAAAGTGATGATGACCATTTGCTTTTGCTCTCCAGCATAATTGTGTATGCAATTTTTTGTGTGTGTGTGTGTGATGCTCAAAATGTACATTTACCCATTTTATATATATTTTTTCTGCTGTGAAATAGTTCATAGTAAAATAGTTCATAATTCATAGTTCATAAAATTGTATTTTATATAAATATATAATTATGAATATAATTAAATTCTTAAATGTACTTTATTATTTATTATTTATTTATAAACTACTTGAATTTAGTTTTACCATGGAAACTTTTTTGTAAAAATGTTTTTGCTTTTCAAAAAGACCATTAACGTTAAATTGGACTTGTTTGAAGTATCAGGAATATTTAACAGTATGGATATGTTAGCGCCCTCTATGGGTTGTTTTTAATTCACAGGGTTGATTTCTCAATGCCTCTTTAATAACAGCATGAGTGTTTCTTAAAGGGTCTGACCTCCCAGACTGCTGAAGTGTTAAGTGGATTTGATGGGAGTCAAATATTGTTTCTCAGGCTGATCTGACAGAAGCGCTCCATACTGCCCCAGGAGCGAACATCACGTCTTTTGCGCTTTGCCAACTTTCCGTCCCTCACACTTTCACTCTCTGTTCTTGCGTTAGACATTGATGAATGTGCCAACAATAACGAGACGGTGTGCTCACAGATCTGTGTGAACACCCCTGGCAGCTACCGGTGTGAGTGCGAGAAAGGCTTCTACCTAGAGGATGATGGGAAAACATGCACCAAGGGCGAGCGAGGTGAGTTGTATACTCTCTGGATCTTTGTTTGTCTTTCTCCGCAACACTCTTTGTTCTTTTACTTTAGCTTGCTCGCTTTCTTTTTGGTCTTTGCTTCTTTTCTTCTGTAGTTTGGAGTTTTCCAGACTTTTATGGACCTACAAAGCCGTTCACGACCTGAAACTGTGCACTAACACCTCTTTCAGACTTTCAAAGTTTAATTGCTGAAATAATTGCTGTAGCGAGATCCAGAGAAACCGTTCTTAACATATAAAAGGTAATGAATCAACTTGGCAGTCATGTGTTTTTGTAAAGAAATTTGTCATAAACTTAGAATTTTCTGTATTTTATACTTAGTTTCAGTGGTTTTTAGTCAGTAGTTTTATACTGAATACCCATGGGGTATTTTTTATCACGTAATTCGCAATGCTTCATGGGATTGTAGTTCATTTCCACAGTTTTCTCTTTTCTGTGAGATTTTTGTTCAGTTTGAGAGCCACTTTCCTGTTAGAAGCTGCTTTTGCAAGCCTCACAGACCTGCTTTGATTTGCACAATGCATTTCCGACAAAGGTTTTGAGGTTTTAAATAGAGCACAGAGAACCAGAGATATTAATTTTCCTGTCTGGACCTGACCATTCACAGATCTCTCCATCACACAGGTGTGGAAAGGATTGAGTGAGGTCTAAATGCTCTGACAGGTCATGGATGCATCATCTAATTAAAGCAGTGCAAACACAAAGAAAGATGTGCAGAAAATAAGCCAAGTGGATAAGGGTGGATATGAAATTTAAATTTCCTTTTTGTATCTGAATAATTCCAATATCCAAACAAAAAAATCTTCAGAAAAATCCTTTAGGTCCCACAAATTCTTTGGTTTTCCAGCATCTTTTGCATATTTGAACCCTTTCCAACAATGACTGTATGATTTTGATATCCATCTTTTCACACTGAGTACAACTGAGGGACTCAGACGCAACTATTACAAAAGGTTCAAACGGTCACTGATGCTCCAGAAGGAAAATCGATGCATTAAGAGCCAGGGGTGTAAACGTTTGAACAGAATGAAGATGTGTACAGTTTTCTTATTTTGCCTAAATATCTTCTTTTTTTTTTTTTTCTCATTTAGTACTGCCCTTCAGAAGCTACACTAGATACTTACATGTTTACCAGAAGACAAAATCAGTTCAGTTTACCCTGATGTTCTAATTCAAAAAGTTTTCACCTCCAGGCTCTTAAAGGGGTCATATGACGTTGCTACGGTGGCGGCAGCAACAATACTACAGTGAGAATAAAAGTTACGCCTTCATTCTTAGCATAAACATTTGGGCGGTGTTATGCAAATCTTCCCACACAGTAAGGTAGACATGTGGGGGCGTGTTTAAACGAGGCGTTTTAGGAGGGTGTGGACGAGTCTTAACTTTTATAAAGAATATCTCTTTGGGTTTGAGACTTTAGTCTTTGCAACTTTAGGGATCTTATCTATTCACGAACAGCTTGTAACACTCCAAAGAGAAAGGAAAACTTGAAATCGCATCATATGACCCCTTTAATGCATTGTGTTTCCTTCTGGCGCATCAGTGAGTATTTTAACTTTTTGTAGGGATGCACCGAAATTTCGGAGATTTCAGCCCGGAAAGAGAAAAACGGCCAAAAATATTAGCCGAAAATATATGGCGTGCCACACATTGTTCAGTGTGCACTTTTCACTCTCCCTCTACACTCTAAAAAATGCTGGGGTTTTTCAACCCAACTTTGGGTCAAATATGGACTAACCCAAATTTTGGGTTTAAAAACAACCCAGCATTTTTTAGAGTGTAGCTGACGTCACTGCGCGGTGTGACACTCCACTCAATATTCCGCTCTATGAATGTGCATTCCATTGAGTTGCTCACAACCCATGCGAACGCTCCACTCATGTATGAATGAATGAGGGATTTATATAGTGCTTTATTGTGTATTGCTGTACACGCTTTACAATCATGCACCTCTCATGCTCACCGGAAAAGCCCACTCAAATAACGTGCCAACAGTACATTTCTATGTAGTATACTTGTTCTTGTTTGCATTAGCGCACTGTTTCAGTTTTCGGCCAAGTGCATCCAGAATTCTCGGTTTCGGGCCAGAATTGTTATTTCGGTTTATCCCTAACTTTTTGTAATATTTGCATGTCCCTCAGTTGTCCTCAGTGTGAAAAGATGGATCTCCAAATCATGCAGTCATTGTTGGAAAGGGTTCAAAAATGCAAAAGATTCTGGAAAACCAAAGAATTTGTGGGACCTGAAGGATTTTTCTGAAGAACAACAGACAGTTTAACTGTTCAGGACAAACAAGGGACTCATGAACAACTATAACAAAACAAAAAAACAGCTGTGAATCATCCAGGTAACAACACAGTATTAAGAATCAAGCGTATGTAAACATTTGAACGGAGTCATTGTTATAAATTCAACTATTTTCTCTTATGGACTATATGTAAATATGATCCCTCTTATTTTGGTAAAATAATTAACATTTTGCAGATACTATTACAATTACAATTATTATTACAATTCTTAAAAATCATGACAAAAATTTATTTATTTAGTATTATTAAATATTATTAATATGTATAAATATATAAATTATATATATATATATATATCAATGTTAAACAACATTTTGATGCCAAACATAGTGTGGGAGTGAATAAATTATATATATATATATATATATATATATATATATACATATTAAAACATTTTTTAGGGCCATTAATTTCATGTTAGATATGGTTTAGCTCTTACTCTCCTCACTATTAACAAAAAAATCCATTCTGCAGCCTCTTCTGGTTTGACACATTTATAAGACATTACTTCCTGTCTCCCTGCAGGAAGTCCACTGACCCCTCGCGGTTAATGACTTGGGACACCAGCTAGCATCAATCACTCCTTCCTCTCCACTCCTCTGTCTATCTACTTTTAGGCTTTCTTGTGGAGCGTATCAGTCATTCAGAGTTTTCTGTCTGCTGTTTCCTCTCTTTTGGGTCAATTTGAGCGCAAAATAAGATGACCTTTCAGGGCATTTGGGCTTGCAACAATCCAGATGTACGAAAAAGGAATTCTGGGAATTCCAGACCACTGAGATTAAAGTGTGTGGATCATAAGAGGTTATCGGTTAGGAGTCAAACTAAGCTGTAGGAGTTTTAAAGAGATTGTGATATAACTCAGCAGACTTTTGACAGGAATGACAGTAGTTAGTACATTCTGATGAGGAGCTAGTATGTTTCTGATGATTCATGTATGGAATGAGCCTCCATTGTGACCTTGAGCAAGACTTCAGATCCCTGTTATAAGTTTGACACATTTTTATGGGTTGTTCCAAAACCTAGTGAGCTGCCTTGATGCCTACTGACTGCAGGCAGTACACTAACTAAAATGGAATCTCATAAGCTTTTGATTTAGAACACTCTACAGAGGCAACAGCTAAACACACCACATATTTGAGATTCCCCTTTTGAAGTGCACTTAATTGTATTGAATGTGCACTTGAATTTCCAGTCTTAAAAATGTGTTTTTTTTTATGTACTTGCAGATATAATATGAAAGAAATAAAAGGCCACCTAAGTGTACTTAAACAGTTCACTTTTTAAAAAAGTGCACTTTAAAATGTTATTAAAACAGTTCATTGTTTTAATAATCTTTTGTCAGTGCTTTAAAGTGCACTTATTTTGATGTTGACAAACATACTAAAGCACATTGTGTTGTTTGATATTGCATTTAAAGTTAATATTTTAAATCTACTAAATTGCAACTTCATTGACAATGTGTAATTTCAAATATATTTAAATACATGACACACAAATTTCAGTAGAAATTACATTTATGGTAAACTAAAATATACTTTAATGCTTGTCAGTAAATTTGGCAGTGCACATATAATATTTCAAAGACAATAAGGAATTAATTGAAATTACATGCTTAAGTGGGTCAAAAACTAATTGCACTTAACTAATTGCATTTAATATAAATTTAAACTATGATATTTTAACTTAATTATAAATAATATGCAATTAAGTGTCCAAAAACATTACATTCTACTCGCACTTAAGTATATTATTTTAAAGTATGTTATTTCTCTTTTTAAAAGTATGCTAAAATTTACTTCTTTTTCACAATTGTCGACATTTGAATTAGTTGAAATTTGATGTTAGCATATTGCTAAGTTAAGATACAACACACTATGCATAAAAATACATACACATGGTCCATTTTTAATGAGTTTGAAATGCTTTAATTGTGAACTTTTTTTTTATTGCATCAGTTATGTGTATTAATAATTCAATAACAATTCTTTCATCTCTTTCCATCATGGATTGACTTTTTCACTTAGCGGATTCATTTTGGTTTTGTCCAACAACCTTCCTTAAGCTCCACATTCATGTTGTTTCTTTGCAGCTCCACTGTTTGAGAAATCAGACAATGTCATGAAAGAAGGAACGTGCTCGGCCACATGTGAAGACTTCCATCAGATGAAGATGACCGTTCTCCAACTCAAACAGAAGGTGCCCTTTTCCAGTTTCACCTGCAAGGCTTATTCGCTAAAACGAGCAGCAGATTTCCTTTTATATGCATGTTCTCATTCATAGATGTGAGCCGACCCAACGAGAACCTACCTGCCAATGTTTCACAAGCAAGTCGGACTCAGGTTATACAAGTCTTCAGGGATGTGTTGGTGACTTTATAGGCAAAATAAAAAGCGATAAAACACGGGCTGAATGGCTGAGCAATCTGGTGGTGTGACTTATGTCTGTCCTTGCTGCATGCTAGTAAATCACGTTGAACGCAGTGATGCGGTTTAGACGGGCTGCAGTCAAAGCGAGACTGTCAACAAATCCACTCAGCACCCTCATGGTCACGGCATGATATATAGCTCTTGTGCATGTGGTCCAGCAGACTATGAGGGAAAAAATTGAGAGTAAAAAATGTGACAAACTAGTGAGAGTGAGGCTAGACTTATGGTTTTATGAGAAGGTGACACAAAAACATTGATATGATTGTTACAAATGTTTTTTTTTTCTGTCCATTATTTTAATTTCCCGCCTATTGCTTTGTTTGGAAAATGTTATATTGGCTTGCTCATGTTTTATTTATTATTAATGTTTTTTTAGATTTATTAATGTTTTTTTCAGTTTAAAATATTATATTATATTATATTATATATATTATAAGTAACTGTGAAATAATTTTTACCTTTTAAGATGCCTTTTTGGAGAATGCAGTTCCAGAATGCAATGTGACAAGCTCAGTTAAAATTAACCCATGATGATAAAAATTAAATAATTATATAAAAATTTAAATAAATTTTAAATAATTATATAAATATTTTTTGGTCAGTATGTTCAAAAGTATGTTCAAAAATGTTATGACATTCACACAGTATGTCAGTGTGTTCAAAAAGTTTGTGGTCGGTGAGTAATTCAATACTTAATAATATCAATATAAAAATGTAAGTAAAATTCATAGTATACTATTTTAGTGCAAAGACTATTGCGTTGGTACTAAATCAGTCATTTATGAGGTTTAATAACTGTTAGGATTGTGCTTTAGAAGGTAGTTTACTATGTAGGCATTTGATTGCAATGTTTACTAGGTTTTGGAACAGAACTGTAGTGTTTTAGTTCATCTGCAGATCTTTTATTCAAAATGGACTGTTCTTCACGGCACATAATTCTGCTAATCTCTCGCAGCATCATAAGTGGTTGACATTGGCACTCGGTGCAACATGGGATTGAAATATGTGCAGTCCGACACAAATCAAAACCAGAAACAATGACAAATGAGATTTAAATTGCTTGCAAAGGGCTGGACACAGACACTTACACAGATTTATGCACTAGGCCTAGGGCTGTATCTACTGTGTGTGGCGATACCTCAAAGGTCTCTGTGTGTGTGTGTGTGTGTGTGTGTGTGTGTGTGTGTGTACTGATGTCCAGAGGTTAGAAGGTAATGGATACTTCCACTGAGTCCTTTGAAGTGAAATACTCTGCGAAGAACACTTGGAAAAGACAGGCACTGATCTCAGTCCATGCACCAAGTGGAATAATTCAGAGATTTCCTGTTTTTGCGAACAGCATGTACACAGATGTTACAGTTTATAGATCATATTACATGCTCACGTTACTTTGGTTTAAATTATAATTCTCTTATTTACCTTGTAATATTATATATTTTAGCCATCCCTCCTGTCAGATTAGTTGTTATCAGGTGACAGTAACGTCCTTATATGTTTTCTTAAAGGAATAGTTTAACCAAATTTACTCACTGTTATGTCGCTGAATAATCAGGGGCTAGTTGCATAAACTTAGCCACTATGTTAAGATGGTGTCTTAAGAACTAGTTTGACCAACTAGCAGTTAGCCAAGGGGTAAGAAGTCTTATTTTTCGGATTCAAGTTAGTCCAAGCTGTGTTATAATGCAAGAGTTTCAAATATATATATATATTTCAGCTTTATTTCAATTATATACAATATTTTTAATAGCACTAATTAAAAATAACAACACTGAATATAATATATTTTTTGATTAATTAATTAATTTATTTGTTTATTTACGTTTGGATAGCAAAATGAACGGTTCAACCTTCAAACTGTTAAAAATAGACTTAGCCTTTGTCTAAAAATGGCAGATTATCATACAGTAGTACAATATTTCAGAAGTGGATCAAATAGTTAATATAGATGTATTGTTGTGTTTGAAAACTTGTGACGCATGTTCTTAGTGCTGGAAATCTAGATTTGCTGGGATCAAGCATTTAGACATAACCTCTGCAGGAAGTCAGGCCTCCAGGAGTAGAATTGAACACCCCTGCTGTAAAGATTATAAACATCACTATCAGGTGACAGTAACGTCCTTATATGTTTTCTTAAAGGAATAGTTTAACCAAATTTACTCACTGTTATGTCGCTGAATAATCAGGGGCTAGTTGCATAAACTTAGCCACTATGTTAAGATGGTGTCTTAAGAACTAGTTTGACCAACTAGCAGTTAGCCAAGGGGTAAGAAGTCTTATTTTTCGGATTCAAGTTAGTCCAAGCTGTGTTATAATGCAAGAGTTTCAAAAAAGTTAGGACCAGTCTTAAAGAACAATCATTCATAGTGACATGTCTGTCAAAAAATCTCCATTAAATTAAAAACAAAAGTAGTCCATTGGGCTTGTGCTCTTTATTCCCAAGCCCTTTATTTATTCGTTTCTTTATTTTTATTTTTTTCATGTTTATTTAATTTTATTGTTGTCATTTTATTTTTTATTTATTTTTACATTTAATTTGTCATTTTATTCAATTTTATTGTATATTTGTTTTATTTCATTTTATCATTTTTATTTTACTTTTTCCAGTTTTATTTTATTTTCCATTTTTAGATTTCATTTAATTTGTCATTTTATTTCTTATTTTCTTTCGTTTTATTTTACTATTTTATTTTATTTTAGAGCAGCATGAAGATTCTTTCTTGAAGATTTTTACCACAGAAAAGAAATAACAGCATATTGGGTTTGGATCAGCATAAGAGGGAGCAAATAATGACATTTATTTTCATCTATGGATTACTATTCTTGTAAAACTGACTGTTAATCTTGCGTTCTTGGTTCTACTGAGCTTCAGAACCAAAAAACGAGTGCATGTCATGTTTCTGTTCAGTCTTTTCCAGTCCTGTAGTGCAAGAAACAGCGAGACCCTGGATGATCCGCTTGTTTTGTATAACTCTCCTTTCCTCAGATTGCCGTATTGCCAAGCAGCACAGAGGTCAATAAACAGATGACCAATGAAAAGATGATGATGACACATTCGTTCTTACCTGGACCTCCAGGGCCACCTGGGCCTGCAGGTGAGCTTTGTTAATATGCTGTTTATTTTCTCCATTCTTTTCCTAATTCCATTCTTCTCTAAACCTGTCACTTTTTATGTCTCTCTCAGGGAGCCCAGGGCCCAAAGGTTCCCCTGGTCCCCCAGGACAAATGGGGCCACCAGGCATGCCTGGTCCCAGAGGCGACATGGGGCCCATGGGACCCTCACCAGACCTGTCGCATATCAAACAGGGACGCCGTGGCCAAGTGGTAAGTATAAGTCTTTATAAGTAACCTAGCTTCACAAACCATGTATTATCAGCTGTAATCAGTATCTGAAGTGTCAGATTTGAGGACTAATGTGTAGTTCATTCTCCTGCATCTGTAATAATTATAATATTTAGCCTAGCATAAGCACATAATCTGATTGCACTGCTCCATTAATTCTTGATGTTTCGCTTGGGACACACTGCATTGGTGTTGTTTTCCAGTGCCATTTGTCTCTGCTGCGCCATTAAGCTCTATGAAGATAACTCACTTTGGCTCAGCATTTATCTTGTGACATCTGGCTGGCCTGTGGTCTACATTCTTTAATATGAGTCTCGATGGGTGTCCACATTTATTATGACTTACTAAAGGATGTACTAAAGCAGGTTCAAGGATGTAATGCAGGGGTTGCTCTATTCTATGCCTGGAAATCTACTTTCCTGCTAAGGTTTAGTTCTAGTCCTCCTATAACACACAGACCTGTCACTGTTAAATGACCCTTGAGACCTCGAATAAAGACCTGTTGACACCTGAAGGAGCTAAATTACATGAAAGTAAACAGTATTTGCAAAATATTATTTTAAACTAAGACACTGTTTTCTGTAAAGCTGCTTTTTGAAACGATGGGGGGTATATAAGCTAAAATATAAAAAAAAAATTTAATAATAACATAAGAATTCCTATATGTTTTTTATTATGTAGCAATACAGTAGTACAATATTTCAGAAGTGGATCAAATAGTTAATATAGATGTATTGTTGTGTTTGAAAACTTGTGACGCATGTTCTTAGTGCTGGAAATCTAGATTTGCTGGGATCAAGCATTTAGACATAACCTCTGCAGGAAGTCAGGCCTCCAGGAGTAGAATTGAACACCCCTGCTGTAAAGATTATAAACATCACATTACACTTACATTCTTAAGATGCCGAGTAACTTCCTAATTGTTAGTTGTACTTGATCTTCATTGTTGCACAGCGTCTTTATTTTTCACTTTGAGCATTTGCAGATTTATTGAGCCAAGCTTCATTGTAGACACAGCATGAAGGTGTTATAACTCGCTGACCTGTGGTTGCTTTCGACGGTGACACGCTTTACACTTCCTGTTACGGACTGTTAACCCTCATTACTCTTTCACACATTCTTCCCCACACTGACAGACATAATGAATTATCATCTCACACACACACTTTTTCACACTCAAATCACAAGTGCTGTGAATCACAGCAAACTTTCTAATGTTAACCTTTTCAGCCGAATCATCACTTTGCGGCATGTGTGTATGTAGCCTCTGGAGACAATGTCTTACAGTAAGTTCACGGCCGTGGATATTTGTAGATCTACTGAGCAATTCGGTATGTTGTTGACAGTGGAAATGTCACTGAATGTTTTCTTTAAACACTTCAGATGCATTTGTACTTGAAATATTTTTACTCTAAGGTCATGAATGCTGAGTAAATCTGTAATGTCTGGTCTCATTTGGGACATAATCAGTTTTGAGCTCTCATAGCCATGGAATTCTTTGTTTTTGGATGCAGTTCCACTTCATGTTTGCTTTTACACGCTCTTAATAGTTTCAGCAGCCTTGTAAGACTGAAACTGGATCAGCAGGTGCAGGATCAGTTTCATTTGTACTCAAATCACTTGAAGAGTCTTCACACTTCCAGCATATGTGGTTGTTGGCTTTTGGACCAATGAGATTGCAACAAAATATCCTGCTTCTCACGATTGTTTCTGCTTGGGACAAAATGTAGATTTATGTAAAGAGAATGTGTCAGTTTATCACACAGTTACACTGCAAGGCCTTATAGACTGATCCAATATTTTGACACACACATTTTTATGTCCTGATCATTTACATTCATTAACGACTGTGTTTACATTTAATATCGCGCCAAGACACAGTATGCCAGTGATTTGAAGTACCATTAAAATGTTTTTGTTAATCTTTGTGCCATATCAAACTGACACCACCAAAAAAAAATTATATGCGTATTATATGTATAATATTTCAAAATATTGCTTGCAGTAACATCCCATCATCCATACAAAATTTATTGTTCGAGTACAAATCAACTACATTGTATGTTTTTAAAGAAATGTGAGTGGCGATTGCTTGTGCATACAGTTGCACCATGATGCCATGGTGTGGTGGAGTGGTTGCCAGGGCGTTGCTATGAAGATTCTGCGTTGATGGGCACAATCACAGCCAATCAGAACATATCTGATGTTTCATTTAGGACCACACCTGAAAGCTGCCCAAATTTAAAATGCAAAAAAATCCAATCCAACATATTTGTTTGTTTCTTTTCGCACATATACAGCAATGTTTGTGACTGATATATATTAAAAAAAAAGAAATTTTAATATTAATTGTAATATTTCATATAAATTTTACTAGTAAATATTAATATTTAATTTCTTAAAATTTTAACTTTAAATAAAGCATGGATGTGGCAAGTTCAAAGTAACACTTTAATTATTAAATCAACATCCTTACTTTCAAATTAAAAAATGTTATTTTACAATAATTAAATATTAAAATATGTATTAAATTATAACATTAATATTTAATGTATTTAAATAATTGAATAATCATATTATTCAATTATTTTAATATTACTTTATTTAATACATTTTAATATTAACATTATGAATAATATAATATGCATTTGCATTTTTATTATTTTTTTTATTTAAATAAATTAGGGATGTGGTTTTAAGTTTACAAAGTGTCACTTTGACACTTTAGACACTTTCATAATCTAAATAAACATTCTTACTTTTTTAATTAAAAATATTAATATATTTAATTTATAACATTAATATTAAAATGTATTAAAATAATAAATAATTGAAATATTATTGTTTGAACACGTGTCCCCTAAACCCCCTGACCTTCAGCTGGATTATCTCTGACTCTCTAAAGGGGGCATCTTTGCAGGTGGGGTGGAAACTAGAAAGGGTAACAGGAATCACTTTCATCCTTTTTTTTTGTTCTTTTCTTCTAACAGGATCTGTCCTCCTTTATCACGCTTGATCCCCTGTTCTTTTTGATTGTTGCTTGATATATTTCCTACCAAAAAACTGATTGTGTGCCAAGCCTTTTTTATAGTTTGCGTGTAGAAACAATACATTTTTCAATATGCCGAAGCACAACATTCATCCTACCTCTGGATGTTGACAAATGATAATGGAAATAACAGAGAAAAGGCTGACTGCGTTACTTCACATGGGTTGCTTTCTTTGGCCCGTGTGCTTCTCGAGGCCGAACTGTTAACCCTTCAGATAGAGTCAACATTTTACTTTTAATGCATTGGACCTCATCACTGAAGCACAAGTCGTCAATGAAGAAAAATACTGCTGAAGTATTGTAAGAATTTATGAATCCTAGATGTAGAAATATGAGCCCTTCAATGCTCTGGAGTCGTAGCTCATAACAGATAACAGGTTCTAGAGTGCTCACCGTTTCAGTTTTTATTTTGATAAATAAGTTATGCAGTTTGGAACAGTGTTCTTGGAAAACACGGTCTGAGGAGCTGCCACCAGTTGCGTCTGTGGGATTGTGTTGTGTTTTGTCCAAAACCTGAACATGTGTAGTCATGGGCCTCCCCCGTCTGTCACAATCGCTCCATCCATGAATGCATGCACTCTGTGTCTTTACTAAAGGACTGTTGACGTTGCTGTTGGCCCAGAACCAGCTCTCTCTAATCACCCACATAAAAACCCAGAGTTCAATGCAGTATTTTTAGATTGATGAATCATGTTTTCCATTCTGGTACAAATATGGCTCAGATCTGCCCTAGAGATCTTGACAGGCATGATTTGATGTGTGAAAATATTTGAGAGTTGAATGAATAGGACCATCAAATCTGTAATTCAATGAATATAAATGTGTCTTTCTTGGAGTGCCAAGGGTCCTTAGTTGGGCCTTTAGCTGTTATATGGTTTTGGTCCGATAAAAAGCTATTTCATAAAGCCTTTTTCAGAGATTAACGTTTAAACAGATTTATTTATTCATTCATTCATATAATATATATATTGTATTTACAGCACAATATTTTTACAGCATGATACTTTTTTAGCAGTTAACATTTCTAAACTGAACTTTTAGACATGAACAATTGTATATTATTCATTTTTTATTTATTTGGGACAATTCTAAAGCTGCAGGTTTCATTAATTAGTATTTTTTTAAATTATTTAACAATCACTTTTTTTTAACAATCACATTACCATATTTCTAAACCGAACCTTTTAAGCATGAACAATTGAATATTTTAAAGTTCTTTCTTACTGTCTTTCTTTCTTTAAAAAGGACAATTCTGTGTTTTTATTCTATTTCATTAATATTTTTACAGCATGATAAAGAATTTTTTAACTATTACATTATTATATTTCTAAACTGAAATTTTAAACATGAACAATTGTATATTTTAGGTACTTTTAAGTAATAAATAAGTAAATATTTATTCAGAGAGCACAATTTTAAAGTTTGATGAATAAACATTTTTACAGCATGACTTTTTAACAATAAAAAAAATATATAAACTGCATTTTTCAAATTATTGCTTGCCGTTTCATGATCTCATATTGAGAGACCACATGGAATATTTGTCTATTTTTTTCTAATTTATTTGTGTTGATAAAAATTGTGATTTAAAATAAAATTTAAAATGAAAACCTTTTCCCTTATGCAGTCGTACAAAATTAAACCTATATATTTGTCCCGTATTTTTTTTAGTAGATATGTATGGTTGTGTGTTTAATTAGGATGTTTTTGTGTTTTGTGTTCATAGGGTCCACCCGGGGCTCCAGGGAGAGATGGCATGAAGGTATGTTTTCTATCTATCTTTATCTCTGTCCACTACTTTTCAAAGCTGTGGCCAAGGGCTGTTTTCCATGTGCAGAGTGCAAATATTTGGAAAAGCAGGATAAAGACATTTAATATCAATGGCGACTGATCATCACTAACATAATGATCTCTTGGATGGCGTCGGGTCGATGACTAAAGACCAAAATGTTCAAATATGACATCATAGATGGCAGGACGAATTGCAGATATTTTACAATGTCAAAACACCATTATTACGTCCTTGAAATGGCAAATATGATTAGTCCAAATATTGAGTAAAATTACACAGAGGGACTTCACAATACACCACAGATAATCATGGTATATTAAAGCTTTGATATCATATATTTATATTATCATATCATTGTATATTTTATTTAACTCTCAAAGTTTGTGAACTACAGATATTTTAAAGATATCAAGCATAGTATAGTACTGCTGTTTAGTCTCAAGTCTAACTGTTACAAGTGATCTGTTAGCTCATGGTCTAAAAACAATAGTAAAACGATACTAAAAACTGAGTTTTTTGCCAAATATTATATCAAAAGTTGTTCAAGTTATAGAAGAATTGAGGCTTTTGAAAGTCAACAAGACTAGGCTTGGAGACTGGTTTATACACAAACTCTACATTAAAATCCACTGAAGATAACTCAAAAAGAAACCAGAAACATTCTGTTCACAGTTACACAAATGTTTATGCAAATGTTCGAGATATTGCAAGCACTCTTATGTTGTAGATATATAATGTGAATTTTAACATCAAATAAGGTAAACCCAGAAGATATAGTGTATAGTGTGTGCACTTCTGTTACAGGTTTGTATTTGAGCTTTCGTGTTTATTAATTATTAGTAATAAATTAAGGTTACACTTTATTTTAAGGTGTCCTTGTTGCAGTGTAATTATACATTTAAATAGTGAGTAATATTAATTAACTACTACATGTACTTACTATAGTGTTAGGATTAAGGTTTGGTTTAGGGTTAGATGCATGTAATTATCCCTAATTTATAGTTTTTACTGTAGTAACTACATGTAACATGTAACAAGGACACTGCACAATAAAGTGTTACCTAAATTAAAATAAATAAATAAAACGCAGTATTTAAAACTTTTAAAATGTATGTAGTCTATTCCTCATGTACGGTAATAACAAAATGTAGCATTTTAATGAAGAATATTTTTTGTTAATTGT